GTAAAGATGGAGATGCTTCGGCCATCTGGAATAAGGTCAGTGATCAGATCTGAATGTTTAGAAGTGAAGGAGAAAACCAATTAAATCATATTTCGTTTATTTTGTTTAATTTATTTTAGGACCATAACATGAGTTATAACTGTAGCCATTATTAATTACTAATTCTATCCACATAAATAATTGGCACTGAAAAAGTTAGGAAGCAATCTAATACCAATATTGGGCGGGGAAGGCGACTGCTGATATAACCGATACAATGGCTGAAAATTTTTGAGCGTTGTCCACCTCTAAGAATCAAAACATTATCTAAGCATTAGCTTGCTAACTTGAAAGGCATGTAGCTAATGCCCAGTGGGTTGGAGGATTGAAGACAATTTATTATTGCTGATTTTTTTTATTTTATTTTACAGACCAATTACAATAAACTTACCATGGTCTGTTCAGCAAAATACGCTATACAGTATTGCTCCTTGCTTTGCCCGTGCTGAATGTGAAAGTGAAACCTAAGGAAATGGCCATGACTTGAAAGTAGTCTTCATGCTCCCTCTGTTGGATACATTGTACAATTACAGCTGGTTCCCACAATTTTAGGAGCAAAAATTAGAAGTGCTTAAATTGGCACATAATGGGACAATTATCACTGATACCGATAGGTCCCCAAACATCTATGTCAACCTAAAATATTGGCCTTACTGATATATCGGTTGGGCTCTAATATATACATATATAAATAAATATCTATATAAAATCCCTTACATTTTAGTAGCGTGACACTAAGTGTCTTAAGTGTGGTGTTGCTTGATGAATAGAAATCTCTACATTTTTCTCAATTGATTGTTTAATAGGGTCTTGTTTTAGAGTTTTCCAGTGTAGATTCTGTGTAACTAACCTGCCATCTTTCCCCTTTTAGTATGTAAACATCATTAAAAATACAAAAACCCCAGAGAGTGATAACACCTGCCGGGCATCTGCTTGATTTCAGATGTATTTGCATAAAGCTTACAAATAATATCCTGGACATGTGCCATCAAAAGGAATTAAATCCTAAAAGGCTAAGACTGGCTTTGTTTGTGTTTGTTTTGCTTCATTATTTTTTAGAAAGACTTAACTGATTAACAGTGTTTGAAGCAGAAGCAAAGAAAGAAAAGTGATGTAGTAGAGGTCAGATGCTCAAACGTCTGCAACTCAAAAAGGAAATGAGAAGCAAAGAGCTCCACATTTTCTGCATCTAAAAGCTTGCTTCTTTCATTTTTTGTTTTAGTTCTTTAGTTTTTTTAGTATTCGTCTTCTGTTTCTGTCTTTTTCTCTCATCTCCAGTGACCGGGGGAGTCACCTTGAAAAAATAATTTTGAGAAAATGAAATCTTCATGAGAGTTAAACCTGAATAAAGAGGGTGCAGAGCTGTCCATGTTGGTGCCTGCAAGTGTGTGTGTATGTGTGTGTGTGTGTGTGTGTGTGTGTGCAGTGGGGGTGCAGCCGAGCGTCACGAGGCATGACTCTGTTCGGCTGTATTTTACAAAGGCGAAGAGAAGATATGTTTAGAGGTCCAGATGATTCTCATTTACACTCCAGGAAAATATTGTTCATTTCTCAGCAGGCGTGTGAAGCATATTCAGGATGATTGGGGAGGGTAGGGGTGGAAGGTGGGGTGGGTTGTGGGTGGGAGGGAGGGGCTGGGGGAGAGCTGTAAATGGAATTGCGTTTCCCTGTGTTTTGGAGGCTCACACAGGCAGAGGATTTGTGTTTTTGTGTGCTTGTGCTCCCCTGTCGGGGACTGAAAAGGCTAAATTGGAAATACCCTCCATCCATCCGTGCATGCTGTGAGCATGATAGCTTGAAAAATAAGCAATGTGCCAACTTCCATTTTGGTGTGTGGCTGCATCTTTGCATAAGAAAGATCACTATAAAAAATTGGGATGCTGCGTCAAAATCCAAGATGGCTGCCACCATAAATGTCCGAGTGTTATGAACATAATGAGTTGAAAAATACGAGGCACTGTTTTGGTGTTTGAAAACATCCAGGCATAAAAATTAAAAAAAAGTTTTGAAAATTGGATTACCATGTCAAAATTCAAGATGGCTGCCACCATATATTTCAAACTGTCTTGTGTGGTGAATAACAAAAAATAATCGAGGCACTGACATCCATTTTTGTGGGTTCCTTTTGAAAATTGTAAATAAAATGAAAAATGTGTGTGTATA